TCCTTTGAGCCACAGCGCTCCGCTTCTACTCACTTTTGAATCCCGTTAGTTAAAAGAACTAGCTGCAATATTTTTAAATTAGCTTTTATATCTGGATTTCAATTCTTGAACAAAACTGTCCAAACCGTAAAAAGAATGAAGATCTTACCTGTAACTGAGATCTTGTGTGAATTACTAGGGACAACCTTCATTATACATACCTAAAGATGCTGCTGTCTCTGAATTATCTGCGGTTTCAAAGCTCCAAATGCTTTCAGTTTGTGTCCTTAAATACATTTTTTTACAATATCCTCATTTTCTCAGGAGCCTCAGTTTTCAAATCCAAAGTTTATTAAAATGTCAAAAATAGAACTTACAGTTTCACGTATGAAATAAGAGGGCATACATAGTACAGGCCTTTAGTAACAAAATAGGTGAATAATGCTTAACAAGCTAAAGCAGGGAGGTGACATCACGGGTCACTAACATACAGTCTCAGGTTAAGAACATCTAAACACTAATGCGAACATGCTCGTACATATCTATCCGAGGGGGAAGAGTTCAATCTAGCGTGAAGAAAGTAGGCTGCCTCCATTGGGAGAGCAAACGAGACACATCTCAGCGGCGGGGACTGGCGCAGGCTCCTCTAGTATCCACGTACTGGAGGAAACAGAAGATGAACCAAAAAACATTTACGGAATAATACGTGATTTTCTGTTTAAAGCCTCATAAATCTGTTCCATCTGGGAACCTGACTCGTTGCTAAAAGACAGAAGAGCAACTCGGGCAAAGGCTCCTGCTGGAGACGTCCTTGTTCTGCCTTATTCGCCAGGGTTTGTTGCTGAGTTCTGAGGCGAGTCTCTTGTTCTCACATCAGTAACCGCCTGATGTCTAGCCATCACCAGCAAGGAACGTATGAAAGATTTAATACTCTGAGTGCTGAATTGCCCTTTCTGTTAAAAATTAAATATTTGATTCATCTGAATATTCAAGAAAGACAACATAAATACAAAAGCATGTACATAATAAAAAACATATACTGAATTTCTTAACCATACCGTTCAATCAACTACTATATAGCGACTAATTATTTCTCCTTCTAGCTTACCAGCTTATTTGTGAAATTCCATTCCTCCTACCGACCCAGTACCTTAGAGAACTAGGAAAGCTCGCAGATGTTTTGTGATATGGCTGAAGTCCTTCACTGAGCTGTGTTCTTCGCGCTCCTTGTGCCGTTCCAGTTAGTAAGTAGCACAAGGCGCCGATGTCAATACTGGCTGCTTGAGATGGAGCCCTGAATATTCTTCGCCCTGCAAAGGAATCCTCTGCATGGTTCAAACTATGCTCATCCTTAACGGGAGAGGAAACTAATTTATTTAAACTCTTTCTCAGAGATTACCCCCCAGCCTTTTGGTGGCATAAACGGGTAGCCAGAGCTTCGGGGGAATCTGTTAGGATTAGATTTCTCCATCTTTGTACGTACGCATGCCAATTCCTGGCAATGAGATCAAACGGACAGCACTGGATTACTTCTAAGACAAGCTTAACACAAAGTAGAAACTGCAATTCAGTTCAATACATTAATAATAATTAAAAAAAAAAAAAAATCACCACAGTCATTTAAAACCACAAGGCCATCAATATCATCTGCCAGCAGCCAGGCCCTTGTGTATGGCTACACCAATTAAAAAGAGTCAAAGTTCCTGCTAGTGACTCTCTACTAGTAACAAAAATGTATGAAATCCTGGGAAAACTAGCCAAGACTGCCACTACATGAGAAGATATTCCAGTACAGGTATGTAATCTAAGCTAGGGCGTGGCTGATTGCATACATTTGTGCTACATATCAAAGCTACTTTAATAAAGTTTTAGGAAAAAAGTAAAACCGAGAAGAAGCCACGTGCACCTCTGGGGCACCGCTGCCTGCAATCACCTACAGCCGAGTGCTACCTCTTCCCTTTCCTTAGTGTCCACACCAATGGCACGAGTGAGCATGTTTCGGATCTGACGGGGGAATTAGCTTTCATCTGCACAATCCACGTCAACTGCGCAACATAAAAGGAAACTCGGCTGTAACGTCCCTTGGATCACACCCCTTCCCCAGCCTTTATCTTTCCCTTTGTTGCGTGGTACAGGACTTTCCATTTGACTTTATAAGGTAACTTTAGAAACCATGAAGCTTTTATGAATTAGTGAGAAGGCAAACAAAGGGGAGGAGAGGAAATTAATACTTTAGTGGAAATAATCTTCTCAATTTTATCTAACCGTGCTGCTAGACCAGCTTACATTTTCCATTTGAAGTCATTTTACTTAAGGGATGATGAGGTGAGATTAACCAAAGTTTTTATGCATCATCTGAATGGTGTTTTTCAACAGGCATCTATTAATAAGGGTTAGCAATTCATTATCCTTTATCAAGTAGAAGATAGAAATCTGGTTGATGGCAGAAATCCAGGTCCAATTCTTTCTTTGGCTGAGGCAGCGATTCTGTGTGCAAACTTTGTATTAAAGTTCGGGTTGATTCCAGCTTGTAGCCCCTGGCTCGGGCCGGCTTCCCACACACGCCGTCACGCGTAATGACCTCTCCGACACTGGAATTTAAGATGTCATTTTTGTTGCTAATGCACAAGGCACCACAGAGTCCAACCTCCTCCACGATTATGCGGACAACGAAAACAGTTTGTTCCCTAAAAGAAGCAAATATGGCTTAAAGACAGTTGGGGAGGAAACCTGGGGCCATTTTACACAGCAGGTTTTTTTTTTCCCCTCTCTCACTAAAACAGCAAGTCAAATACTTCCACAAAAGTCAGGATAAATTTTTTGTTTGCAACTATGTTAGAAACCTGTATCGGAAAGTATATGCCAAATCGGTCCACAATGACAGACAGACCTACTTTTTAAGTGGCTAGAAAACACTTTTATACAGCTGCTCTTATTGCACAAGTCCATGCAATCAGAGATTTAACTAAAATCACATTGCAAAAACTTAAAAAAAAAAAAAAAAAATTTAAAATTACAAATCCTAGAAAACCTCCAGCGCTATGATACGAGCCATGTTGCACAGCGAAAGCTCCAGTCAGAATTCTGCAAGAGGGTAATTCAGAAGTGCCTGTATCATTCAGGAGCACAACCAACCACTGAAAGTCTTCCTCACAATTTACATTTCATACACAAAATGTCATTTCTTGTTTCGGGAAGAAAACTCTCCTCTAAAGCATCCTTTTGTTCGCCCGGTAAAACAAACACCAGCAGCGAGCCTCTCGGATCATCTGTTCCCGTGTCCACGGAACAAGGGGCGCCTCGTACCCTGTCTTGCCGACGCCTCGGGTCCGAAAGCGTTCATTTTCTGCCAGCCAGGTGGTGGGGTTGATAAACAGAGCGGTCCCAAAGGAACAAGCATGTCCGGAAAAGCCTCCCTCTGCGGATAAGGCAGGTACACGGAAATTCCTGGTAAGTGTTTGAAATGCTGTGACGGGTCACTACCCCGTTACGGGCCCAGGGCGCTCTGAGGCTGCAAACCTCGACCCGGCACGCAGGAAGAATTCCACTGAGCTCCGCGGGGCCGCTCGCGTTCGCATCTGGGAGCACAAAAGTGTGCAGGACTAAAGCCTTAACGCAAACCATTGTGAAGTCCATCCGAGTCCATCCTTCCCAGAGCCAGATCTAGCCTGCATGTTTGTCTCTCATATAGGAAAAACCAAAAACCCCAAGAAAAAGAAAAGATTTCCATAGGAAACTGATTATCACTTTCTCCCCTCCCCCTTCTAATATTTTGGCACAAATGCACGTGATATTCAATGCAGATATAAAGAAACAGATAACTGGATAGCACTGACAAAGTTATGAGACTTATTTGGCAAATTTCAACCATAAACAAGTGCTAAGGTTTTTTTCCAGTTGTGGAAGTTGTTTGCCATGACAGTTGCTGCAGGGAAAAAAAAAAATATTAAACAGTCTGGAGCATGTACGTTTAAAATGAACATTTTATAATACAAGTAAATACACACTCTCCCAATTTCTCCAGGCAAAAACACATCTCAGAGCATTTTAATCAGCTGAAATAAGTTTTAAACAGAGGGGGGTTGTGTCTGAGATGTCCTGGTTCATGCGCAGTCACGTGTGACAGCATGGGATAACCTGTTAAACTGCATATTCTGGGAACGGCAGCGAGGGCCTGTTCGCTTCCCTCGCTAGAGCAGACCTGGACGCTGAATGCACTAAGCCCCTAAGAAGTGGCAGATACCGTTCAACATACTGGGAAAATACAATACAAACTTTCTGTAGTTAATGCAAATAGCCTGCACAATAACGAAGGCTTAACTTCTCCAGCCAGAGCTCCCCGCGTGACAAATGTCTGTCTGGGAGCAGCTCAAGTCAAAAGCCGCTGCAGCGATATCGAAAGGAGCCCGAAGTTTGGCCTTTTGCTTCATGTCAGTTCACTCCGAGACCATCATCAGCTGCATCCCTCAGGCATGAAGCGAGACTCTGCCTCCTTGTTAGCAGTCCAGCGTGGGGAATTTGTTCCATTTGGGAACATTACTGGGGGAACTGGTTCTTGCGTGTGCTTTAAATGCTTCCTTTTCCCCCTACTGCTGCGATCCCAGGGAGGACAGGCGTGGATCAGATGGATGGAGACAGGAACGCGTGAGCAAGAGTCATCCCAAAGTCCCGCCGTATCTGGCTTTTCTGAGATGCTGCACGACCCAAGCCTGGAGTTGTGCGAGGCAGATTGGAAAGCTTCCTCCGAGCCGTCAGTGGCTCCTGCGTGCTCACACCAGCACGGAGCGAGCGGCCAGACAGGCACGACACAGCTGGAGGCAGAGCCCTGGCTTCTCTCCGCTGAAACAAAGTCCATTTTTTTTATCATGATAAACTTCAGCTTCAAATTCTAACTGCAATGGCCCATAGCATTGTAACCAAAGTGCTAACAGTTTCAGTGGAAGTGGCTTAAATGGGCATTTCATTTAAAAAACAAAACAAAGAAAACCCACCTTTTTCTTCTTTTTTTTTTTTAGCAGATTTTTTTTTTTTCTTGTCATGTCAATAACTGGGAATTTGTTTACTATGCACTCTGCATTTTGCTAAGGGTTAAGCCAATTCCATTTTTCCAGAGTCTTTGTCCCCCCCCACCCACCCCCAGGAGATGTTTCCTTAGGAGACGCTGGAACAGCGAATACTCGGGGAGCCCATTTGTGTAAGGACCTTGTCCAGCCACTGCAGAGGACCGTTAAGATGCAGTTCAATCCAGCAGGGAGTACTGGTCACAGTCTGCCGCCTACAAGAAAGAAGGGGTTGGAGGGGGAGAGAAGAAGGAAAAAAAAAAAAAAAAAAGGTAAATGTGACTTGCAAAACTTTACAAATGCAAAAAGGTTTTACAGCTACTGAAGCATTCTTTCCTGCTTAGACAATAGTCTTGCATGTGGGGCCAAAGGAATGTCTCTCTCCTCTCTAACACGCTGTTGGCCTGTGCTGCCAACTTCTTTTAAAAACCTTACCTTTTCTCTTTACGTTTCTTACGATCCCAAAGGAGCGACTCCCCATATAACCTATTTACTACTCAGATTCCCGAAAACAGGCAGCATCTGATTCCCTGAAGAGAAAGGAAGGTGTTTATCTAGGCAAAATTCTCCAGTTGTATTTTGCAGACCTTGCCTCTCCTAATTAGACAGCAACGTAAGTAGTTTACCAAATATGTTAAATTTCTCTACGTCTCAGACAAGGATATTCTCTTTTTACCTGATCTAGATGAGGGGATTGAGTGCATCCTCAGTAAGTTTGCAGATGACACCAGGTTGGGTGGGAGTGTCGATCTGCTGGAGGGTGGGATGGCCCTGCAGAGGGACCTGGACAGGCTGGACCTTCGAACGCTTTTGAAGCATTCAAAAAACGGGCAGATGTGGCACTTGGGGACATGGTTCAGTCTAGTCTACCCTTGATTGGTTTAGAGTGGACTTGGTAATGTAGGTTAACGGTTGGACTGGATGATCTTAAAGGTCTTTTCCAACCTAAACAATTCTATGATTCTATGATTCTACCCTACCTTTAGGTTTTAGTGGAACATGGAAGTGATGGAGAGAGCTCACCGCCCAGCCAAGCCCTCTCCTGCTGGGCATCTTTTTCGCGCAGCTTGGGAGGATGCACTGGTGGTTTGAACCCTACGCTACACACGCCATGTACGGGGCACTCCAACGTTTTTGCATTTGATCGGTTGCCTCAAAAGCAGCAGAAATGCTGCAGAGTGTAAAAAGTTGCAAAAACCTATCAGAAAAGCAGAAACGTGGTATTAAACCACGTGTTTTAAAATCCCTCGAGAGCTGGCGGCTTTGGGGATGCCTTGCTGGGTCAACACGCATCGTGCTTTTAGTTTCCCCTGCTGCAAAGCACCTTCCCCCTCTCCTGTCTGCCTCTCTGTTATTCTCCCTGAGGCCAGACCCCATGGAGTGTCTCCAGATGGTAAAGCGGGAAGAGATGGGGAGGAAAGGAAGGGAAGGGAGGCCAGGGCACAGGGCAAGGGGCTCTCCCTCCTCTGCCGAGGGATGGCCTAAGTCTCGTTCCAGACAGAGAGGCAGGGACAGCTGCTGTGGAGGAGGATCACGAAGAGAGAGAAATAGCCTGGAAACAGCCTGGTTTTACACCCTCATTTCCCACAGAAGCTGTCCTTGGAATCTGTTTGTGGGAGGGAGAAGCCAAAGTCTGCAGGGCCCAGAACGAAACCGCTGCTGACGAGGGGTCTCCTTTCCGCTCCGTGGGGCTGCCCCGTGCTCCCGCGGCCATCCCTGCCCGTTCACGGCAGGGCAGAGGAGCGGGGGGCTCCGGGGTACGGCTCTGCACGGCTTTGGCCAAGGGCTGTAACCGGTGCCGTTGATGAATCCCCATCTCTCATCCTTTGAGCTGAAAATGGCAGCGGCTCCCTGAAGGCACCCCACCCATTCCCAGCTCAGGCGTGGCCGAGCCGAGCTGGCAGGCCAGGCGATGCCCCAAGAGTGGGCGTTTGGGCAGGGCTTGTCCTACACAGCGACTTAATGGTGAGCATTCTGCATTAAGGGGCGTCTCGCGAGCTGTTTGGGTGGCAGGACTGCAGGACAGGGAGAGCGGAGCACCTCTCACTCTTGTCAGCTTCAGTGCAGCATACAAACCTCTTGGGTCCCGGGAAAAACTAGTCTCCCTTAACTCAATGCAGAGCATTCCCCTTTGCTGCCTGAAACCAGCCTAATGCTGAGCAGTCCAACGACTGTCCCGGCAGCACTGTACAGAAAGCCACTACCAGTGAGGCTGCTGCACTTCTGCCCTCTGCAAATCTCTCACGGCAAACTTAATTCTCTCTTTCCACCTAGACGACCAACACGTTGGCTCCAGCCTTTCAGAAAAGCAAACCCTCAAAGCTCTCCGTGCCTTCAGCTTGCTCCACCGGGCTCTCGCTGGACAGAGGAGAACCTCTGTATCACAGGCTGCTTATGCAATTGGCGTCTCCCTGCACCGAATCCCTGGCACGCAAGAGCGCTAAACACCCCACCAATTAGACCGCTCAAAAGGCGAAGCAGCTGAACCAGAAATCACTGGAACAGCGCTCTGGACGCAGCTCCCACAGTAACTTTTTCATATATGAATCAGTTCAACAAATAAACGTGCTCTGACAAAGGCAATCAGATGTAGTATTTTGTGGCAAGGAAATGAAGGAGCAAGAGAGCAGCTTCGGCGCGGTCAGCGTGAGCGTAGGGTTTCACTGACTACAACACTCTAATGAGATAGTTGACTTTCCGTAAGTCACGCTCATCTGGATTTCATTACGAGCCGTGGCTGCGAGCCAGGGCTGAAATGCTCTGGCCAGGGTGCAGGACAATTTCAAAACAAAATGGACTCCAAACATCTGGAGAAATGAAGAAAGTGGGAGAGTAACGTGCAGGGCCCAGGCTCCAGCTGATACTATGGCATCTCCCCGTCTGCTGCAGGCAGCTGTGCGAGGGGAGCATCGGCAGACAGCCGCGCTGCTCCGGGCGGCAGAGACTGCCCCCAGATTTTCAAATAAGGCCACAGATTTAAAGGGTACACAGTCAAGTAAGTATTTCAAAATCACATTTGGCTTAAATCCTTGCCAGCTTTCTCTCTCACACGACAACATTCATTTTCCGGCAAATTTCGTCTCCCCTACTTGTACTATTAAACCACTGATTTCACTCCCTTTGCTACTTAGGGACATTTGCTTGGAAATGCAGTGGAGCAACAGCAACACAAGCTGTGGCGTACTGCGTCCCTCACACCGTCTCCACCGTCTCCACTGTCCCCATGTTGTCACAATAACCATATCGTCGACTCCAAACACCAGACCCTACTGCATCTCCTTTTTTATCTTCAGTATTCACTAGGAAAAATAGTAACCCTGTTTCTCCTACTGCCACTGGTCACATTTAAGCAACTGCCCTATGGCAAACACTAAGGAAAGGATGAGGAGATTTAACTATAATTTTGCAGCAACTCTAACAGTTCTTCCAAATGTCAATTTTCAAGGCGATGTGCTTTTATTTTAATCCCATTAGTCCCTGATAAAAGAAGCATCAAACCCAACCCATATCTATTAGGAAGCACTCACACTGATCCTATCATGATAACAGTGTGGTCATAAGACACTCAGACTGTCAAATATACATCTAATTTTAAGGGAGGGGGGGGGAAATATGGTAATAGTTCCCACACAGGCCATCTGGATTTATCTACTGCGGTCCAGGTAAAGCTCTTGGTTCTTACAGCGCTGTGACCAAATGCGCATGGTCTTCCACGTATATCACACAATGTATGCCCTACGCAAATAGGGTGGGAAAAACAGGAGACGAGATTAACGCGTTTTCAAGAGCTACAACCTACCTGCATTACTAAAGAGGCGCTGCACTAATTCCCCCCATCTTAAAAGCTGAGTAAAGAAGCTTTGCAGAACACGATCGTAGGCTGTGAAATACAGGGGTGGCAAAGGCAAGCACAAGCATACCGCAAAGTTGCGTTCAAAAGGCCTGACCTGTATTCGGCTCCCCATCCCTTGACAAAGCTCATTCGAATTGTGCACATTCTGGTCAGCTGATACACAGCTTCGAAGCCCTGATTTACAGACTGAGCCAAGAGAGCGGCGAATTCCTGGTTGTTAAAAATCTTCAAGTTACATCCTGTGAAAAAAGAAGACGGCAAGAACAAGGCATTAGCTTAACTAGATTAAGAATTCCCTTTCTTTCTGAGGATGGAAAGAAACTCAACGCTGCTTTCCCATGGCCTCAGACCATGGGATACTATACACATTGTTTTAGGGACGTCATTTCAGAAAAGGTATCAAGGTTGCCACGTTTCCACAGCTCAAATGCTGACAAGGAAGAAAACCATGTTACAGGACAGAGAACGATGGATGCAAATGCCCACACAGCAGACTGCGATCTACAAACCAGACCTGGGATCCTCGCGTGGAACCTCCTTTACAGTAATTTCCCTCGTAGTGTAATTTAAAAGCCTAACTGTGGCCATAAACACTTAACAACGATGACTGCTATGGGGCCTGAAAGGAATGCGCAAACTAAAACTAGGAGCTCACTGGTGTTGAGTTTACATGGTGTCTGTCAGCAGAAGTAGTGGAGAAGTTCTGAAGTGAAACCGCTCTGGCAAGCCAGAAACCAGTTATCAGGGTGAAAAAGGCTGGTAGCAGAGCTGCTTCTGCTAGAATCGTCTCTTAAATGTAACTGTCATGCCCCAAAGAATCTTCCTTTAAAACTGGAGTTTTCCTCCAATGTTTAGGCCCAGCTAAAAGACTGGGAACAACTTATTCGACTGTTTTTAAGTGATAAAAGGTGAAACAGAACAACATCCTTCGTTGTTTAAATAAATAAATAATACACAACTCTGGAAAAAAGCGTTGCTACGCTTGCTTTCTCCCAGATAACCAGAAAGAAGTTAAACTCTGAAACTTGGCACGCAACTAATGCTCCTTTGGGATTACATGTGAGCCAAGTCTGAAAAACAGCCATTTGGACTGTGATGAATTGTGTTTTGCTAAAATCACTTCTGAGCCTACTCTCTTGGGCTGGACTCGTACTGTCATCTGTTTTGGGTCGAACTGCATAGAGCAAAGCGTAACCGCATGCAACAGCTCAGCAGCTGCAGAAACAGGTACCCAGTTCTGCAACCAGAAGAGAGCACAGCCCAAGAGCGGTGTATCTTGCAGGGAGTTTGGAGGGGAGCTGTGTCAGGCATATTGCAGTCTAAGGGGGGAAAACAAGAAGGGTGAGAGCAGCGGGGCCAGGCTGAGCACAGAGAAAGAGCTACGGCAAGGAAAGCAGAAAACTTGATCAGGCTCAGACTGCCAAGCTGTTCAGGACTGGATGGGAGCAGGTCTCTCCACGACTGTGCCTGGGAGGAGTGGGTACGACTTGATCTTGTCAACAAGGGAATGAAGAAACTGCTTCAAACCCCAGCAAAGATTTGAAGATCAGTCTGAGAAGGCACCCAAAGACTATGGCAAAAGTGGGGAGAGCTGGAGTCCAAAAAAAGTGCCTTAGATGACTCTACAGAGGAAATGTGGGTTGTTTATATCTTCAGATGTTGACTCCAGCCGGGGTGGACTCTTGTGATGTGGCTGGAGAATTAAGTCATGTTTGCAACACTGGCAGCTGCTTCCTACGCATCTAAGAAAGGAAAACCATTAAGATGAGCCAGAGCTTGCAGTGTATGGATCTCTTCTCAGAAGACAGGCAATCTTTATTCAAGTATTTCTAAACAAAAAAGTTTGTTTTTTAAATATACGCATACTTTTAACTGTAAAAAAATTCGCTTTTGTAAGCCTCGCTAAATAGCTGAATTCCCTTTCGAATGGCATCTTCTCACCCTAGCTCTTTTGCATGTATCTTACAAAAAAGTATTTTCTTCCTCGATAGATGCAATAAATTCTCTTGTAATCTTTCAGCATACTTTAGACATACGTTTGCTGTAACTAGAACAACGTTCGCTGTAACCAGAACAACAAGGTGCCTGCAAATGCGATTTCCCTAGAATAAAACTAATTCACAAGGGGGGGAGGCAGGGGAGAAGCTTTATGACAGAACAGAAAAAAGTAACAATTTAAATCTATTATGGGTAAATCTAAATTAAGAAAAAAATTCTTATGTTATATTCTTTTACTTAAAGGTACAAACAAAATTATAAATACAACTATCAGATAATTACAATACAGTAACGGACTGATAAAACACTGTAGGGAACAAGTGGTAGATTCTGCTCTTAGTTCTGCTTCGACACTGAAGTGTTTCTTCCTACTTGTATGAATGCGGTGCAAACAATTGTTGAAACACACATAGTAGCCTCCTTTATCAGTACCTTCATCCTATATGCTATAAAAAAAATGCCGTGCTCAAGTTGTCAAGTTGCTTGTAACAGGGTTCAAGTTTCTAACTATTGTCAAGAACGGAGGTCAACAAATCCGTGCCTACCTTGACAAAGAGCTTGCTTTCCACAGCAAGTCCCCGTTTGCGAAAGGCGAAGCCTGTGTAGGGTTACAGATTAAGGCACACTTCCTTACCTGGTGGAATCTTGCAAACTGTTGCCGGGTGCCAGCCGTAGCGTTGGTTGCAGTTGGGAGACTGGACAAAAATGGCACTGTCACTAAGGCACTCGGCAAACACCTCGCCGCCAATGTAGTAGAGTCTTACTCCTCTTCCTAGGAAACACATGGCACAGGTTTGGTTTAGCTTAGAACAATCATCTGCAAAATCTGCAAGAAGAGCTGCTAGAGACGTAGATAGACAACCTCTGCATGAAACAGCTCTCAAAAAGCAGCTAAACTAACATCAGTGATGGAAAATGAAAACCACCTCTTTTGGCCCACTGGGTAATACCATTTTAGGGAGCAATAAATTTGCCCTGTGAGCGAGTTAAGTTGAGGAAGGCAGGAGGACCAATTTATAAAAGCAGAATTGCACTCTCCAGCCCTATGTCAATCACGGCCTGGACTGCATAAATTTACCACCTCACAGCCTGCTTACTCCATACATACATGTCTCTGATATTTTCCATATGAATGTTCTATCAGTTAACATACGGTTTTCAACCTTTTCTGAAAGTCACCGCAGCTGGATACAACTGTTTGTTTATTTACTTAGTGATCTGTAATTAAATTATACATTTTCAAATTATTGCTTTTTGCTAGGGATTACATTATATACAAGGACAAACATACATTACCCATAGGAGTTTACACAAATCATTAAGGTCTCAGTTAATAAAGAAACAAATTTCAGGAATACATCTTTGTTACTCAAATGAACACTTGCTGTGGTCTTACATTCCTATTTGAATATCTTGCTTTCATTCTTCCATAGAGCATAAGGAGCCTGCTGAATTTAAAGACTGATTCTGAATCTTGGTGGGGTTTCTGGGGTTGGGGTTTTTTTGGTGCTAGAAGTCATGTTAGAAACAAGTAAGCAAAGATCCTCCTGTATGAAGTTTACAGCTCAGGAAAGGGTATAAAGGGGAGCAAAATCAGGACAAAAAGCACGTTCATTTTTGAGAGAAGTCAGCAGAAAACACAGCAAAGCATAAGCGATTTTGCCTTTTATTAAAATTGCATAGATCTGGGATATTCTGTTTAGCGCAAGTTTAACTGAAAACAAAATTGAGTGTTACCTTGCAGTATAAGCAGGAAAAGTGGAAATTGAGATGCGAATCAAGGAACTAAGTTTCCATTTATAAAAGAGCAGTCAGTTAGAAAATAAAATAGTGCAGGAGGGAACAGGAATACACAAGATTTTCACTAACATCCATCCAAATATAGTTTGGAAGAGTGTGTGTAAGAGTTTAAATTCTGTCTCTATTACATGCAGCAATTTTAGTGTTCCTCAGTGCAATTTTTTTTTTATTATACTTTTATGAAAAATACAATTTGTGTTCCTTTATGGAAGATTAGCCTGCTGAAACACCATGGATACTCAAACATTGCAGTGTTCTAAAACTGACCAAGCTGCACGCTGATTAGGTAAATAAAAAGCTTTACATGCAAGTCTCCACCTTCCACCTTGGAAGACACCGACTAAACCAAGGAAATAGAAATTACCAATGTGTCTTCTTGTGAGTTCCACTGCCGCATTTCTGTTCACGTTAGACAGTAAACCAAGGCAGAAGCGTTCGGAATTAGATGGGTCAGTGAAACCATCCACGGTCATAGAGGGCTGAGAGGCATGGAAAGTCTCTCCCACTCGCTGGTTGAGTTCATAGTAGGATATCGAGCACCAGAAAGCTGGCTCGCAGTAGGTAACAGGCTGCAGATCTGCACAAAATAAAAAGCAAAATGAATCACAGGCCTTCAGGAGGGG